TTTTTTGTTTGTTTGTTTTTGGTTTTGGTTTTTGTTTGTTTGGGTTTTGTTTGTTTTGTTTTGTTTTTTGTGTTTTGTTTTTTAATTTTTTTATTTTTTTTTTAAATTTGTTTTGGTTTGTTTTGTTGTTTTTTTTTAATTAAAACCAAAGAAATGATTCCTTGTAGCACATTCAATTTGTACCTATATATATGTTACACTGCAAATTGCACAACTGGGAAATAAATTCTGGGCAATTAAAAAAACCCAAACAACCTAAATTAGGAATTTCTTTTGTATTTTTACAAATGTAATGTAAAACTAGCAATAGTATCCTTACTTGAACAAACTCTTTGATTCAAAATTGATATTTAAATGCCACTTTGAATTCTTTGTCAGTGCAGGTAGCGCAGTACTGCCACTTGTCTCTTCATACTTGAGCTAGTACATACTAGGCTAATAAACAGAGAACATCAGGGTCTTATTGAATGCCTAAATTTTATTTAAGCAATAGAATATCTTTTGCACGAGCCAACAAGCATTGGCCAATCTGTATTGTTGTTTGTTATTTAACCTGGACAGTTATTATATTTTGTGTTTTGACACAAAGCTATAGCTTAGCTTGTCGCTGGTGTGTAAAGCCTTACCTGGGGAAGACCTGTTCCTGAATACCACAGGTCCATTTGTAAATTCAAAAGAAATTGTTCCTGCATCTCTGAGCTCAGAAATTATTCCTCAAAGTCCAGAAGAAAATAATATTTTAAAGGTTCTGATTCTATTGCACCTCTTAAATCCAGTTTTGTCATGCTAATTTCTACTGTACTGTATATTTAATCCTTACAGTATCAAAACTGCTAAAGAATGTTTGAAGCTTTGAAGCTATCACCCTTTCCAATGGCATGTTGAATGTACACAAGTACTCTTAAATGTTTTCTAGTGACATGCCTTGAATTCTGCATGTAATCTCTAATTTCCCTAGAAGAAAGCTAAAAGAACATTTCTTCAGTGAGAATAGTTGTGTAAATGAAATGTCATTAATCTTTTCTACCTCTGTGTGACAGACAAGAAATCTGCTCCATTGTGAAAATGTCACCAGGCCAGAGGCCTTCCCAGCTCCAGCAAGTTCCAGTTAACTGGAAAGAGTTCTGCCTTCCCAGAGGAGTGCCTGAAAGTAAAGGAGTATAGACTTAGTTCACTGTGCAGATGCTAACTGGTTAGTTGAGTGTTTAAAAGTTGCTGGGCTTTTTTTGAAATCTGAATATTTGAAAAAATTGCAAGGCTAAAAAGAGTGAAAAATGCAGAAAACTTCAACCCTCTGGCTTAATAGTGTTCTTGGGCAACAGTACTTAATTAAAATTGCACTAACATTTTCTCCTCCAAGGATCTTTAGCATAGGAATTAAGGCAGTCATAGGCTACTTCAGAATTAAGGCCTTACTATTATTCTGTGCTTTATTTCTAGAGTGAGTAAGCCTGAGTTGAACTTTGGTATTCATCACCACTCCTCCACCAAAGTAGTTCGAGTTATCAGTAATGCTTTTCTTTAAAAATGATCAGTTTCTCATAAGGTTTCTGTTCTTTTCTCCTGAAACCCTTAACATAGGGAAAGCTCCTTTCTTCACTTCCCAGGTTTTTGTTAAACAAAAATAAGAACTGTGAACAAAACTGTCTCATCACTTAACACAGGTAAAAGCCCCGCCCTTTCCCATCTCTCATGAAGTTTCTTGGTGTACCACTGGATGGCACGTGTCTTCCAAAGTTTAAAGTACCTTTTCTCCAAGTTTCCCGCAAGCTGTGTGTCATTTATTCTGTTTGAATTCAATACAGAGATAGCGCATAAGCGTGGAAGCTTTCAAAAATACTCAATACACAAAAATTTTCATTTGTGGTCTCTTGGGTCCAAATGTCTTTCTACTTTATTACCAGTTATTTGCAGCATCTAGAATGCCGTGAAGTGTTTGTAAATGTGTGTATATGTATTAATTAATGACACTCATCCATGCTTCTGTACAGAACTGGGATGCTAGGTTATGTGCCCAGGCATATTGTAGTAATACAGAGCACAGGTTATACTTGGTGGGCAAGTGATTCAGAAATCAGCAAGCAGCGTTGTCAGAACAAAAGTTTGGTTTTCTTACTCCTTTTCTAGAGGGTCCTGGTATCAGGAATTAGACCCCACTGTGGTGGAAGGTTTATGCTAGATGTTTTATTCTCTGATCAAGGAGTCTTTCAGATGATGCTGGTTTTAATTAGGAATGTACATATGCTCAAAACTATTGTTCTCTCCTCACTGGCAAATGAGACCTGCAAGATCCAGATTCTTCCAGACAAATGCTAGTATTGGATGTATCTAGTGAACATCTGAACAGCTGGTCAGATCATTGAACTTTGTCTTACATGAGAGAATGTACCACTTTACTAATAATGATTTATCACTTTTTTTCCTCCCAGATACTATTCAAAGTACCAAAAACTGGATCTGCTGTAAACAGAAATGAGATTTTTGGCTTTCGGCAGGAGTTAACAGAAGAAATTACTGTCTTGCTACGTGGCAGGGTGGGAAAACAGAACTCCTAACTAGTAAACAATGGTTGTATTTTTTTTTCTTTTGCATATATGTTGTTTGAAATTTAGTATTATGTATTTCAGTAAACTAGTAAATACTCAAATACTTCATAGTAAATTATTTTGTACAGCAGCTAGATCCTGTTCTGGGCATTATTCTGTAAGGATTCCATAAAGATGATTCTTCAGTTTTAAATTTTTAAAAAGTGTGATTGAAGAACAGCAGACCAAATTGCTTTAATAGAATTACTATTGGCTTGCTCTCTGCCAAGATTTCTAGTTTTCTCTAGCAGCATTAACATCTAAAGATGTGACCCCTGTTTAAGTGTTAACATTGGCTATGAAGGTAACTGCATGTCCTGGGAGTGGCTATGAAAGCATTCATGTACTCTTAGAGATCCAGAAGTCAATAGTATGCTACCATTAAACTCCTTGAATGCATAGGTCTGCAGAACTTCGGAGGTACAGGACTGTGTGTTCTGCTATAATTTGATACCAGTACACCAGTACAGGTCCTCTTCATCCCATCATCACTGTGAATTGGCTCTTAATGATCAGCACTGTCACCATTCAGGGCACATCCACTGTGCAGCCACTGCCATCTCAGAGTCCTTCCTGTTTCATCTCAGGTATTTTGTAACATCACACCTCTCAGTCATTGTTTCTTCTAGTGGCTTTAGACTTAGAGAAAGTAAATGCCTAACATGAAACAATGGTGGGAAAAACCCTTTTATAGCTGAACTGTTTCAAGAGACAGATATTGACATTCTGGATTTTCAGGTTACTGCTCACACTGTGTCCACACAAGTCAAATTCCCAGTGCTTCCAGTTCAGCTTGTGGATTGTTAATTCATAAATGCTCTTAGATGTGCTGAATGTGTCAGAAAACACTGTCAAAGAGACATTTTTTTCCACTTGAATTCATTGCACATCAAAGTATTTTGGACCTCTAGAGTGTTCTCACTACAATATCCTTTACTCAGACTTTATCTGGACAAAAAGGAAGTTTTTCAGTGTTTCAAAATGCTAGTATGGCTTTCAAAAGTCTAAGTTTGTTTCCCAGTCTTACCACCCTGGAAAATAATTCTGTATTTCTAAGAACATGACAAGAAGACATATAAAATCTACACCTGTAGTTTGACTGCATTTGAAAATACCTGTGAAAGTTCAAACCCTGATCTTTTCCCCATTGCTCTGGGGTAGAAGGAAGTGGAAATAATTGCTGCTGGATTAGTCTGTGAACAAGTATTATATAAACATTCTAAATGGCTCAAGGTTAAAAATTATGCCATTAAGCTATTTTTCTTTTAAGCATTAGTAGAATGAGTTCTGCCAATAACTTCTTGGAGTCCTGTCAGGTACATTTTTAATTATCAATATCCCTGTTCTTGCAAATACTAAGTCACTATAATTATGTCACTAGTAATTATGCAAGAATCTAGAGCCCCTAGGAGACAGAGGTGAGCTCCTTGATGTAGCTTTAAGCAAAATTGAAAGTTACATATTTAATAAGTTGTGTTTATGATGATTATTCAAGTAAAGGATGGTCCAGAATAAAGATGTTTATTGTAAGAGCATTCTGGAAGTCATAGGAAAAAATACTTTTTTTGCCCCAGGCCATTTGGTAGTGCTATACAAAGAGACTAATACTGGCAAACTAATTGGAAAGTACAAGAGAGGAAACTATGGTCTGTAACTGTGGAATTGGCTGTAGCAGCCTGAATATTGCTGGGGTTTGCTTTTGTTTTTCTTGATGTGCTGAGGCTGTGTAGGACAGAAATATAATGAACCATGATCTCTTGTCCTTCCCTTCAGTTATGAAAGCATTGCTTCTTACCATCTTTTGTCTGACTCTTAGAGAAAGTGTAATTAATTACCAGGCTAGCTCTTTGCTCCAGGGTAGAAAATTCATTTTGAGGCTGCAACAGTCTCTACTCCTGTTCTGCTGTTCTCAGAGGAAAGGCATTTCCCCATAGTTTGGTTTTCAGCTGAAAAATTACTACATAAAATTTCATTCAGAGTGGAAATTGGCTCTTCCATATTGATAGATAAAGGTTATGGGTCATGGCCAGTTAATGGGTAGGTCAGAGGAGGTTATTTGTGCAGTGATTCAGAAGAAGAATCTGTTCAGTGTCACCAGGGCTACTCTGTCACATCCCAGACATGAAGTCTTAATGACTTGAATGGAATTGCTTCCAGCGAGTCAGTCCATGCAAGAACTCTGATAATCCTTTATCACCAGGAATTGTGCATGGCAGATGCATGTTGAGTAAATGTATTATACATAAATCTGTAAGACGTTTTTCATTAACACTGTTCAGTTATTCTTGTTATCTGAAGTGCACTTCTAGGAGACTTTGACTCTAAGTACTCAGAGATGGTGTGGGAGATGTTTCTTGTACTGAAGTGCTACAAGGGTGCATGTATAGGCTGGTGGAGGATAAAGCCTTACATGCAAATAGTTCTGGTTTGGTTCATAGTCTTTAGACTAGAAGAGAGATGACTGCGGCCCAAATCAAAATATGCTGAATGTATATATAAGTTCACTTATATTTAAAGGGACTCCATCACCTTGAATTGGTAATGCGCTTGAGCTTAGGTAAATCATCATTGCTCTAAGTTGTGAAACTACTGAAAGCTGAGTTACATATACTGGTCAAAACTCTATTATTTTGTTTTGTTCCCTGAGGACTTTTTATTTTTAAGACTGTATTTATGTGCTCCTTGAAGTCAGGAGGCTTCCACGTGGTAAAAGGACGTAAAGATTGGTCATGTAAAAATCTGTGGTAGGCACGTGTGTCTTCTGTAGAGAACAAGGGGTAAAAGATGCATCTAAACATTAATTACTGTTTTGTGTTAGAATTGTCTACAACTTCTGGTAGATGGAAAACAAAGTTCTACAGATGAGTGATGGTGAAGAATCATTATGTAGATATTTTGCACGTGCTAAATTATGCCTTAAAAACAATCTGCTTAATTTAATCTTATATCATACATTGTTTTAGCTTAATTCCATTTTCCAGGGAAAGCAGATGAGTCAATCAGTTTTTGTCAGTCCTTAATTAAACTTACTAGCAGGGTTGTATCTGAACAGTGAGACATTGAAGGAGACTGTTAGCTGTTACCAGGGTTTCTATTTTATTTATGTATTACTAATAAAGAGTTTTGTGAAAAGGCATAGATCGTTTTGATTTTACAGAACCTATCACACTTTTTATTTTTTTTTAATTTGTTTTGGGGTCAGTTGCTGGGCATTATGTCCTAAATACTCTTTTGTGGATGATGCTTTACGTGTAATGATGGCTTCCTCTGCCATCAACTACACGCGTTCCACCTTCCCTGTAGGTTTTAACTCCAGTGCATCTGAGCTGAGCCATTCTAGTACAGCTGTGGGAGAATCGCTTCGTGTACCTGGAAGGAGAGCGGGCAGGAGCTGGATTTTCGAGGTTTGGGGTAAAAGACGTCACCTTTCTCTGGTGCGCCCCTGCACGCCAAGTCCCGAAGGCGCTGGGTGCAGCCACGAGAAGAATCTGATGCCTCGATCGCGACCTCCTCTCGCCTTCCTGGGGCTCCTACCTTTTAACTTCCGTCCGAAGAAGGAAAACACAACAGCTGTGCGTTATCGCCACCACCGGGGGATTCCTCGGCCTTGCCCCGGGCTAAGCCCGTCTGGGAGCGGGCGCTTTTCCCGCTCACTCTGCGGCCGCTGGAGCCGCCGAGGAGAGCGAAAGGGAGGAACTCCAAACTCCCCCCAAGCCCGGAGATCCCCGCGGGGTTGGCGGGGGCTCCGCTCTTCACATGGGGCCGCCCCAAGGAGCCCGCCCCGACCCGCCCGCCGGCCGGCCCCCACTCCCTCCGTCCCTCCCCTCGCTCCCTCCTCCCCTCCTGGCAGCGCCGGGTGACTAATTTCTGTCATATGACTGTGACACCGAATGAAGCGGGGCGGGCGGAACTAGCCGCGGTGAAGGGACGGCGCGGAGCCCGGCGCCTCGGCGGAGGGGGCAGCGGCAGCGCCCCAAAATGCCGCCCACCCTCTTCCAGAAGCTCTTCAACAAGAAGTACGGCCTGATCTCCCCGGCTAGGGACGCCCGCGACGACTGTGTCTTCAGGTAACCGGAACGGGGCCGCGCTCCTCCCCCGTCCCAAACTTCTGCTCCGAGTTCCTCGCTCCCTCCGCCGCTCGGAGGACGCGGGGACTGGCAGACCCTTTCCTGCCCTATCGGCAGCTCTTCAGCGACGTGCCCTGCTACCCCCAGTCCCGGCGGCTACGTCCTCCGCGGGAGCTCCGGGGCCGCCCCGGCTGGGCCCCTTCGGCGGGTGCGGGGCAGGAGTCCCCCGGGGCCGCCACGTCGGGGCCGCTGCGGTGCCTCCGCTCGGCTGCTTCCTCACCAGGGCCGCCGCTCCCAGCGCCGTGCCTTGCCTCGCCCCCAACCCGCGGCTGCCTCCCCTTCCACGGCGTGTATGAGGCCCCGGTCCCCGCGGGCCCCTCCGGGGATGCTGCGGGCCGCGGGAGGGCGACAGGCGGGCAGGTCCCCAGGGAGCAGCTTCAGGTACGAGGAGAAAACGTGAAGTTTTGGCCGAGAGAGTAGTGGGGCTTCTAGTAAAATTCATCATGCTCTGACCGCAGCAGAGCTGGATCGGCCGAGCGGGGGGCCATGCTCAGCACGGGGAGCAGGGCAGGGGCCCCAGGGCAGCCCGAGGGGCCGCGTGGGCTCGCACGGCCCGGGCCAGTGCCTGTGGGGGCCGGGACGGAGAGAGCCTGCGTTCGGGTGCTCTATGGGGCCTGGGGCTCGCCCAGGGCTTCCGCGGGCTGGTTTGCTTTGAAACAAGTAGCTTTTGTGCTCTTCGACACGTGAATAATGGCCAGGCTCGAAAGCGATGCCGTGCCTGCGTCTTGGCAAGGAGAGAACCTGCAATATCGTTTTAAAGCGCAGTTTATCACCTGGATGCAAATAAAATCTGCTTCATTAGTAAGAGTTACGCGCTTCTTGAAGCACTTCTAAC